GGGGTCTGAGTCGCGCCTGAGGTACAGCTGGGGCGGGCTTGCCCTGGCTGAGGGGCAGGGGCGGGGCTGTGAGCTCTAGGACGGGAGCCCAGAGCCAGGGGGTAGGTGCAGGAGAGGGTGAGGAGTGTGAGCCCAGACCAGCTCTCGGACCCCGCCTGGAGCCCGTCCCGCCCCTCGCGCACCGCAGCGCCTTGCTCCAGCCTGACCCCTCCCGCACCCCGAGCCCCAGTGGTTGCCGCGGAGTCACGGGCAAGTCCCGAGCACCCCTCCAGGGCTGTGTGTGGCCCACCAGAGCCAGGGGGTAGGTGCAGGAGAGGGTGAGGAGTGTGAGCCCAGACCAGCTCTCGGACCCCGCCTGGAGCCCGTCCCGCCCCTCGCGCACCGCAGCGCCTTGCTCCAGCCTGACCCCTCCCGCACCCCGAGCCCCAGTGGTTGCCGCGGAGTCACGGGCAAGTCCCGAGCACCCCTCCAGGGCTGTGTGTGGCCCACAGCCCCGTGGGGAGAAGTGACCCCCCAGACTGTCCTTTACAGAGGGCTTTAAATCTCCCATGATGGAGGTTCCACGACCTCCTGAGGCAGCTTGTTCCAGAGCTTCACCACCCGGGCAGGACGTTTTTCTCTAATAGCCAAAATAAAGTACCCGTGCTGCAATCTGAGCCCCTTAATTCCTGCTCCGTTTTCCTTGTAACAACCTTTACGTGTTGCAGAACTGCTACTATGCCCCTCCCAGTCTTCTCCAGACTGAAAATACCGATTTCCGCCCCCCCCCCCCCCCGTTGCTTCTGGGGAGGTAATAGTGTAGTCATTGAACCGAGAAGCAAAAGCTTATAGTTACATCTCTCTTTCTCCCCTCTCTCCCTCCTCCTCCCCCTCCCCCCAGTAATTTTTTTAGCAGGCTGGCCAGCAGCCTGGCTCAGTTCCCGCTTGTGCCAAGTCTGGGAGCTCAGCCCTTCCGCTGGACAGGGGCTGCTGCCTCTGTATTAGAGGCAGTGGCGCGGGGTGACAGGTAGCTGGTCTGTGAGGGGAGCTATTTTTTGAGGCAGCAGCTCAGGGTGGCAAGGGACTCCTCAGGAGTGGGGCTGGAGTGCACTGGTTGTTGGCCCCACCCCCAAGGAATATAGAATAGTCGAGTAACCAATAGGAATTCATGAGGTTAATGAACTATTCAGTTAGCCAATATTTAATGTCCCTAATTCGCTCATAATTCATGTTTTCTAATACAGCCGCTCCCCGAGTTGCGAATGGTCAAGTTACGATCGTTCGTGCTTATGACCAAAGTTCCCATGGAGCGGTCGTAAAGGCAGTCCCTGAGTTACGAACGTGACCCGCGCTTACGAACAGCACGGTCGCGTGTAACTCAGGGTACGTCTAGACTACATGCCTCTGGCGACAGAGGCATGTAGATTAGACTACCTGGCATAGGAAAATGAAGCGGCGATTTAAATAATCGCCGCTTCATTTAAATTTACATGGCTGCCGTGCTGAGCCGATCAGCTGTTTGTCGGCTCAGCGTGGTAGTCTGGACGCGCGGGTGTCGACATCAAAGGCATTTGTCGACGCCTCTGTCGCCAGAGGCATGTAGTCTAGACATACCCTTGTCAGTGGGGTCCGAGTTACGAACGGATCGAGTTATGGCCAAGTGTTTGGTCCGTAACTTGTTCGTAACTCGGGAAGAGGCTGTAATTTTTGTGAACACATTCAGATTTAATAGAATGTTGATAACTCCTATATTAACTAAGATCTGTCTTTCTACAGATATGGCCAAGAACTCAGAGTGCCTGGGAGGAAAAAAACAGACTTTAAAACAAAAAAGGACCATTATGATCATTAAGTTTGAACTCCTGCATAACACAGGCCACAGAACCTCACTCATGTTCCCTCTAATCTTTTCCATCCATGTGTAGAATAAATTTTTATGTGTACCAAGGCAGATGCAAATGTGAACCACCAGTAGAAACAAAAACCTAACTCTGGATGCTTTGTTAATCATCTGGGCAGCATATGAATCTCTCCTGAATGGCCTCACAAAGGCACAGCTTACAGGGACCACTGTATATCACCCCTCAAAAAATTGCATCAATCCCTTAGAAAGCTCTCTAGTCTGGATTAAAAGATTTAAATAAACAGAATGGTTTACTCAAGCTTAAACCCTGGAAGACAGACATGATTTTGGTAGGAAGTGACAGACATTTGGAAGAGGGGACTGAAACCTTGTCCTCCGTAGAGGATAAGATTCGAAGACAGGGGTTGGCAACATATGGCACACATGCCATAAGTGGTATGCAAGATGATATTCAGTGTCATATGCAATAAATGGGCTCCCCTTTGTTCCCCTCACACCTGCAACAGGGAGCCCATGCTGGTGAACCAGCATTGCGTCCCCTGCAAGGTTAGAGCCTGCGCCAACTTCCTGTCCAGGGGGGAAGCCCTGAGGTCCCGTGCTGGATCCAGATTGCGGGGAAGAGTGCACATAGCTCCTCCCTTTCCCGTAGCAGCACACACACTGCCTTATCCACTCTACCTTCCCCTGTGCTTTGGAGAGGTGGGACACGGGAGCTGTGAGGCCTCCCCCTACCTCAGAGGCTAGGGTAGGAGCCCAAGTGGGGCGTGTGATGTAGAGAGCCCCTTCTCCCCTCCCAGAAGAGCAGCGCAGCCAAGGCAGGAGGGTGCGCTCAAGTTCATCTCTTCTGAAAGGTTGCCAACTCCTGTTCTAACTCATCTGCCCATCAAGGAAATGTGCAGTCTGAGCATCATTGCTAGATAACACAGACTGTAAGGCTACATCTACACTGGCCCCTTTTCCGGAAGGGGCATGTAAATTTCACCTATCGTAGTAGGGAAATCCGCGGGGGATTTAAATATCCCCCGCGGCATTTAAATAAAAATGTCCGCCGCTTTTTTCCGGCTTTTAAAAAAGCCGGAAAAGAGCGTCTACACTGGCCCCGATCCTCCGGAAAAAGCGCCCTTTTCCGGAGACTTTGAAGTAGGAATAAGAGCCTCCGGAAAAGGGTGCTTTTTCCGGAGGATCGGGGCCAGTGTAGATGCTCTTTTCCGGCTTTTTTAAAAGCCGGAAAAAAGCGGCGGACATTTTTATTTAAATGCCGCGGGGGATATTTAAATCCCCCGCGGATTTCCCTACTACGATAGGTGAAATTTACATGCCCCTTCCGGAAAAGGGGCCAGTGTAGACGTAGCCCGCCTGTGTGAGGATGACTACCATCTCCAGGTGGCCAGACCATTCTGCTCTTTGAGACAATGACCTTTTCATCATGATTGATGTTTTTCTCAGTTTCAGTTTACCTTTCTGGTAGTGAAAATGAAGTCAGTATGGAAATTCAACATGTATAACATATAACCACTGGCATATTAAGAGACAGAGCACATTGCTCTAAGCTTTACATGGTCCATTGGCTTCCTATTTATTTCTGGATCCAGTTTTTATTAATGTCATATCAAATTAAAATCCTCATCCCACTCTATTAATTCTCTAAAGATGATTGCTAATCTTACACTGTGTTGTATATTAGTATTGCTTTCAGTGGGACTACTTAATATGAATAACAGGCAAAATTAGACCATGGTTATTATTAAAGAGATTGCCTATCCAGCTGCTACTCACTGAAATTTTGCATTTGACAGAACCAAGATGAGAGTCTTGGGATCCAGGAACAGAGTTTTCTGGGTGGCTAATTAGAGTGCCATCTGTGTAGGGCAAGAAATGTTTATGGTATGTTTGTACTGATACAATGTGTCCCCAATCCTAACGGGCAATAGCACTGTAATACGAATAAAAATAGTAAGGTTCCTAACAGTGGAACTCATGACTGCAAATGATCAAACTGAGTTCAAGTGTGAATGTTTTCAGAACACAATACAATCTCCGGATGAAAATGCCCTGCTCTCCTCTAAAACTGCCAGCTACTGAAAATCAGGTGGGAAAAGAGTAGGAAGAAGACGATGAAAAGGGGAAAAACAAAGTGAAAGAAGCATGGAGCGTTGGAGAGAGCCAGGTATTTTTGGATAATTTAATATCGTGATATCATGGCAGATCCTGTATTCAGTTCCTATAAGCCATAGCAATAGGGATGTTAGAAATAAAAAGATCACTAGGATCATATTAGTGCAAATAATAGGCAGGAAAAATGGAGAGAGCCACAACAAAGTAGAGACTTTCTAAATTAAGTCTCTGCTATTATTTTTAATTTACTTCTTCTGGGAAGTCAGCTGTCTAAGTTCCAAGGGGCAACAATGCACTGTTTGTTGCAGTAGGTGATGTTTATTGAACTGGGCCTTCAATCTAGGGTTGTTTTTTTTTCTTTAGAGGCAAGTGGGTAGCTAACTGAACTATGCAGACTCATTTCAGGAAGAGCTGCATAGGAAGGGAATGTTCCATGAAACTCAGGGAACAGAAGCCTCATTGTTCCACTTTGAGGATTTTTCTTCGTTTATACTGTACCCTAGCACACCTTGATTTTCTGTTGACACTAATATACATTGTTAATCCTGCTTTTAACTAGATAATCTGTTGGTCTCCTAGTTGACTGGCATGCTTGAAACTCAGGTACATTGAAAGTTATTGAATATTTTAAGAAAAGATCATGTTTGATTTCTTGACTTGACCTTGGTTTACAATGTCCTCTACTCAGCTGCAGTTTATAAAGCCACATACAATCAGCAACCTGCCGCAGTTGCTAATGTTCTGAGAATTGTCCCTTAAGACAATATTTTTCTGAAAATAAGAACTAAAATGATTAAAGCTTCTGAATTTTATGTTTAATAATAATGCTCTTCTATTTCAGCATCTCCTTTTATCCACCAGGCTCACAAAGTACAGATCTGGGTGTGATCCTGCAGTCCTTAGGAAAAGCACCTGTTGAAAGGCACCATATTTAGGAATGACTTCTCCATCACTGTAGGAAACACAGACACTCTACAAAACATGGTAGGGCTGGAGCAGTCTTCCCTGTAATCTGAGTGTTTGAGCAGCCACCAGGAGAGAGTCAAATGCTGCCCAGCTTAATAGCAGAATGCCCAGAGCTGGACTTTATTTCTGCTGGTGGTGCACATTAGAACATGCCATGATGCACATAACAAAATTTGTTCTGTATGTGGCTAGAAAAAATTAGAACATTGGCTGTAAGTGAAGGACAACACAATATTCATTGAAATTCACCGATAATTTTAGATGGGCAAAATAATCTAGGTTAAACATCTTTTTTTTTTTTTTTTTTTAACAGAAGGTATCACATCAGTTTTAATGTCCCAGATGGCCAGGATTTAAGTTTTACATCTCATCTAAGAAACACCGGTAAGGGCTTTTTAATATTACAATAGCACATTTTAAAATATTTTGACATTTATAATTACTACTCACTGCAATTGCATCCATTAAAGGAATGGGCCAAATAATTCTCAAACTTCTTGCAGGTTATTTGAGTTAGCACTTTGCATTAGAAACTGGTTTGTGTTTCCAGCTGATGTATGTGTATATATACATATACACACACACACATTTACAGAGCAGTCCTCTGGAATATAATGGGCTATATTACACAGACAATAAAATCCCTTTTACAAATGTCTGTGGAATAATTGACATATATATATATCAAGGTTAGCATTTTATACTAAGTTATGTAAGTAGTTCTAAAGTAGTTTCTGTAGAACCTATCACATTTTTATGGAATTCTATTTGTTTAACTGTTGTTAAATTCTACAGGATTTTTTTATAAAGGTATGGAGAGCCACAAATGTGATTTGAAGTCTGTGTGCTCATCCATTTCATTCATAAGGCGATGGGAAGGAATGGTGCCCTGCCTTCCAACTTAATACAATGGAATAAATATTAAATAACTGCGATGACAACTGAGTAAATAAAAAGGCATCACCAAAAACATTTGTATAACTTTTGCTACCTCCAAATCTGGCTGCTCTTTTCTCGTGATCTGTCCTTGAATTCTGTTCAGTGAGGTCTGGCCAAAAAATAGAAAATAGTTTAGAACTGAATTAATCATTTGTTTGATATTTCTCCTTGTGTTTCTCAATTGTCTTTTTAATATTTGTTTCAACTGTAGCTTCACTTCTCTGCTTTTCTATTAAGGCTTATTTTTGTCCTCAAAATCAGATTCTGAGTTCTTCCTAGTGAATATTGTCAGGTACCATACACACATTTCCTGTAATTCTCTCTAGTTCCTAATTCTACTTCTAGAACTGGATTTTCCATCTGTTCTACCTTATAACCATTACTATTTATTATGAGAAAATGCAGAGATTATTGATTGATTGATTTATTCAAGTGTGTGTAGATGAATATTACCTAAAAAAAAATCCAAGAGAGTAATTTCTGTAAATTTCATTACAAAAACAGTATTTCTGCCTGTTAAAAATACTTACACCATTTACTTAATATTCTTACTCAATATTTTTCCTGAAGACTAGGCAGAAATCTGTATTGTGACTCATTAGCTAAGCCACCAGGGTGTGCTCACTCTCCCTTCTAAGAAAGGACAAACCCTACACTAGGAGATTCCAGAAATTCCAATCTCAAAGTCCACAATGCAATGGGATACATACATTGTGTAATCTCTCTCTCCAGCCAACCAAAAGGAGAATGTTATATTTCTTTTTACTGGCATTATCACAAAGGGGATGGGACATTTGGGAATCTCATATGTGATGTTCACAGTAACAGTTCCTTTTATTTTTGGAAAAAACTGAACACTTTTGTTCACTTGGAGTAATTTTTTTCCTGTGCAATAAAAATAATTTTGAAGGGCCCTCTGTTTTCTTCATGTTCCTGATACACTGAAAATGAAAAGTTTAAACTGGTTACCACCAGGGCCAAAACTCATAGGATTGAAATACCTTGAGAATGCTCTCATTAAGGTCTATCGCCTTTCTCCCTCTTTCAGTGATAATGAGGAAAGCTTGGGCTTTCTTTAATTGTAGGACAAAATAATCTAAGGGTTTTATTCTTAACAAATGTTCTCAAACTCTGTGCTCATAAAGGTTTAGTCAGTTAAACTTTGAAGGCTTAAAATGTCTAGTTAACTGGCCAATATCATGATAGCAGTTACACTGAGTAGCGACTAGGAATGTAAACCTTAACTGTGTTGAGCCCACAACATGTAAAAGTGATTTTATTTTGGGGAGGAGATAGGAAGCTCAAGCACTCAAGTAATTTTTTACTTTACCCACATAATAACTTGCGGAAAACTGAACTAGTTTTGGCTGGTACACCATGCTGTTTGTTTCATGAATATCTATTTTTTTGAATGTGTGATACGCTGCCTAATTTTTCTTTTAACCATAAATACTTCAAAGGCCTGGTTTATACCATAAACTCCACCTTTTATGTCTGAATTTGAGCATAATCCCCTACCTTCTACAGTAAGTGAGCTAAGGGAGGAACTATCTTAAGCTGTTTCTTTTCTTAGTTTGCTATACCTTGAATGTTGCCATAACAGAACACACTTTGTTTTAAACGGTACCATCTGAGTTCCTGAAAAGGAAAATGCATATCCTTATGACTTGTCTGTTCCTGGGTCTTTGAGAGTTCTGTTTCACAGCCAGGCAGAGGCAGTCCTTGGAAGTCTTCCACTAACAGATGCCCCTTTCCAAAGTTTTATGCAATGATTAATCCATGCCAGCATGGAAAGTTCTGTTGGAATGCTTTGTATGCTATAGGAATTCACAATACTCTTGCAAGGTACATCGCAATGTAGACAGATCCAATGGAACAATAATAATTCCTGACAACACAATATATTTAACATAAGAATGACCCTACTGGATCAGACTAGAGGTCCGTCTAGGCCAATATCCTGTCTTCCGACAGTGGTCAATGCCAGATGGCCCAGAGGGAGTGAACAGAACAGGGAATCTTCAAGCCATCTGTCTCCCTTCACGCATTCCTAGCTTCTGACAGAGGCTAGGGACGCCATTCCTACCCATCCTGGTTAATAGCCATTGATGGACTGAACCTCCATGAATTGAATCCTGTTAAAATCCTGGTCTTCACAACATCCCTTGGCAAGGAGTTTCACAGGCTGACTGTGCGCTGTGTGACGAAAAACTTCCTTTGTTTGTTTTAAACCTGCTACCTATTAATTTCATTTGGTGACCCCTTAGTTCTTATGTTATGGGAACAAGTAAGTCATGATTTTATACACCTCTATCATATCCCCCCTTAGTCTCCTCTTTTCTAAGATGAAAAGTCCCAGTCTTTTTAATTTCTCTTCAGATGTGACCTATTTCAAACCCCTAATAATTTTTGTTGCCCTTTTCGGAAACTTTTCCAGTGCCATCTTTTTTTTGAGATGAGGTGACCATGTCTGTACATGGTATTCAAGATATGGGCATACCATGGTTTTATATAGAGGCAATTAGATGTTTTCTGTCTTATTATCTGTCCCTTTTTTAATGATTTCTAACATTCTGTTTGCTTTTTTGACTGCCTCTGCACACTGAGTGGATGTTTTCAGAGAACTATCCACAATGACTTCTAGATCTTGCTCTTGAGTAGTTATAGCTAAATTAGTCCCCATCATTTTGTATGTATAGTTGGGATTATTTTTTCCAATGTGCATTTACATTTATCACCATGAAATTTCATTTGCCATTTTGTTGCCCAATCACATTTCTACAGCACCTTTCATCTGAGGACCTCAAAGTGCTTCACAGATATTAAAGAATTGAATATTAGTAGTGATGGTATAATGCAGAATCTAATCTGGGACTTCTGGAGCCTGAGCCTCTATCACTTGAGCTAAAAGCCAGCTGGCTCTCAGCTAAGGCAGTAGAGCACATTCACTCTTCCTCTCTGTAAGTGGTCTAAGTGCCAATACTTGGGGCAGTGAATCACATCCAGAAAGTGTGTGGGTTCAGTGGCACTTGGAAAGCAGTGTGCAGTAAAATGATTGCAGCAAATAACAAATTGGCCATTTCCTTGTACAAAGCGAGTGCTGCATTCCTAGGTCCAAATGTGGTATGTGAGGGTATAAAAGGCAGCACTAACAAATGCATCCGCTAGCTTCTATTTGATCTGGAGGAAACCCAGAATGGTAATAAATATTCCCTGGAGGTAAGAATGCCTGATCTCCTTTTGTAACATAAAGGCAAGAGGAAGGATGAAACCAACTCTATCTTTTCTGACCATCGGCATTTTGTTATCTTTCCTTTGGGGCATCCTATATAGCTTCCTTTCAATGGCAATAGCTCTCCCCCTTGGGTTCTCATTCTTATTGGTGGATGGCTCTGTTATAGTCCTTATCAGTTAGGTTGTGTGTCGGGGGGGGGGGGGGGGGAAGGGGGAAGTGGCAGAGTTTTTCTGCAAGTTAGTTGGATGCATGTGAAAAATAATGAAGAGTTTATCTAAAGCTGGGTGGGTGCACGAGCAGGCAAACTGGTTTTACTTTATGGAAAGAGAGAAAACATGGAAAATGAAAGTTAGGCCTTAACAACAGAGAGAAAAAGAGGGGTGAGGCAGGGAACTCAGTCAACTTTGTGCACTGCACTGGGGCGAGATGCAGTGGGGGTAGGTCCTCTACTCTGGGGTGAGATTCTGTATTACAGTATGTGGGGGCAGGCCCGTACACAGGAATTTCTGTGTATGCTTTTTTGTAAAGGTGGACCACAAAGGTGCAAATTTACCCCCAGCCATGGCCCCCCAAGTCAGTGAGCTCCAGCCAGTTAGAGGAAGGCAGGAGTGGCACACTGCCTGAGCCTCCCTCCTCCATGCCCTTGTCGGGTGGGGGAAGGTTGTGGCTAATTCTCCCCTCCCTCCCCGGGAACGAGGCCCAGCCCTGTCCCTGGTCTTGCTCCTGTGGGAGGGGAATTAGCCCCAGCTCCCTTCCCCAGCCAGCCGGAGCATGGGGGAGGGAGGCTGGTTGGGGCAACATGTTGTCCCAGCTTTCCCCAGCCCAACCTGAATCTGCCCCATGGGGGACCATAGAATTTTAGAACTGGAAGGGGCCTTGAGAGGTCAACAAATGCAGTCCCCTCCCCTAATGGCAGGACGAAGCACCATCTAGATCAGGGCTCCTCAGCACGTGGCCTGTGGGCCACATGTGGCCTACGGCCCATTTGTTTGCAGCCCGCGGTGCAGTTTGGGTTTACGCAGGGCTCAACCCGGTGCCCGTGGGTGGGAGCCAAAACAAAAAAGTAGTCCATATAATGGTCTTCTGTTGTTATACGTTTTAGTAGTTTAATGAGCAATGACAGTCCAGGAATTTAAAATGATGTCATATGGGTGGAAATCAGGTAAATATTGCATTTTATTAATATCAGCAGAACTAATTTAAGTGGGGC